CGTCTTGGGAAACAGATCAAACTTCTGCAACTTGGCCTCTGAGGGAAAAACGGAGGTGTGAGGAGAGGTTAAGAACACCGCACCCACCACACTTAGGCCTGCTGGATGCAAGTTTCCTATCATTCTCAACTTCCAAACTGTCCTTGACTGGGCTCCAGCGCCTCGATCTTATTTTTATAAAACCCCACAGCTCTCTCTCTCCCTCTCCCCCCCTCCCGCTCCTAGATTCACAGTTTTTAGCCTGTACCCAGAACCCCAACCACCTGGCACCCTGGAAACTTATTGTTCAGTGAACTCTTCCCACACCTGTCTGTGCCCAATACCTCCACCCTCTTCCCATTTCCATCGCGCTCTAGAGAAGCGGTGTGGTCAAAGTTCAAATCAGAGCAAACAGAACCTCTACACAGTGCGTGGACCACACTACTCCACTCAGATGGCCAAAGCCAGCCCTAAGATCACAGCCTGCAAGAGTGGGCACCTTGGGGGACTAGGTCTTAATCCTCTCTACAGACAAAATAAGTTACATCCTGTTTCTAGTCTACATTTTTCAAAATTATGACCTAAGAATTTCCCTTCCTCCAATCTGAAAGCCGAACCCATTCCATGGCCTAACTGCCTCCCTCAAGAAAAACCTTCTAGAATGCAGAAAGTGGTAGGCTTATGCTGGGAGTAGACAGAAGAAGCATGGGAAAGGGGTCCAGGAAAAAGGAAAACGTGTCAACCATGAGAAAACCGGCGTGCGTTGGGGAGAAAGAAGCCAGAATCAAGGGAATGCAGTGAATGTTTATCCAAAGTGCCCTAGGAACCGGAGGAAAGGAATCTTGCTGTGCAGTAAGAGAGGGCGTCTCCGGGACTCAGGAAAATAAATGCGGATTAGAAGGATTGCTGCGAGTCCTTTCACAAGAGTTGGGAAGGAAAGCGCGAGGTGGCCTGTGAGAAGCTCAGAGCAGAACGGATCTGCAAATGAGTTGGGCATAAACTAAGGGCCTGCCCCTTAGGCTAAACTGTTACCTTGGGGTCTGAGGGGAGGGGGAGGAATAAAGAGTCAAACTGCAGACTGGTCAGAGAGTTTATGGGTGGATGTAGAAGCTGTGTAGGTGGTGAGCTACAGTAAGTAGGCAGAACCTCTGGGGAAGGAAGCAGTACTCTGTCACTAAGGAAATAAGACACTAGCTCTGTGCTCTGGGCTCCTCCTTCCAGACCCCATCCCCCAACTCACCCCCAGCA